ATTCATAATATTTAATAAAGTCATGAAATCACCTTCAGATTTTTTCATTGAGCTTGGTATTGCTTTTAGCACTGATGATGTGTTTAAAACACCTAAAATTGATGAAAGAACAATAAGATCACGTCCACAATTGTTTTCATTTAGAGCTGATAAAATAGATTTTGACATAGCTAATGAACCGAAATCAGGTAATTTAGAAATTGCAACACCAATTGATGTAAGTTTATCTTGTGAATCTAAAATATCTAAAGAAAACAAAAAATTAATTTGAAAATAAATATTATTTCTAAAATAAAACTTACTTAATCTTCTTAGTTCTTCTATTGCTGAATTGATTGCTTCTGAATTCGGTGAATCTGGTAAGAATTTTTTCATATAATTAAGTCCATTTTTAATTAAAGATTTTCTTAATGAAAATTCAATATTAACTAATTCTGATTGACATATTTGTGATGTTGGATATTTTTTATCTTCAACTTTAAAATTATATAATGAATAATATTCACCTGGTTTAGTTCGTCCAAGTCGGCCTAAACGTTGTTTAATTGTTGATTCAGCTGCTCGACTTTCCGTTAAAATTGTTTGCTTCTTTTTATAATCATACACAGGAATATTAATCATTCCTGTATCAATAACATATCTTAATGATGGAAATGTAAGAGATGTTTCAGCAACAGTTGTTGAAAAGAAAATACTTCCTTGTTCAATTTTATTTTGTTGATCAACTGTTGATTGCAACTGAGTCAAAGGAAAAGCAGTTATTGTTCCATGACTAATGTCTTGTAAGAGACTACAAAATCGATTAGCTTCTAATACATTACTAACAAAACATAATATTTGATCATGTCTTTGTTTTGTTTTACATATTTCTTGTACTATATCTAATATATTTTGATTAGGTCGTTCAATTTTTGTTACATAATGTAATTTTCCTAATTTTGGCATTTGAAATTCATCAAATTTTAATTGAGGTATATTACGAAACAATGTTGTTATAGATGGATCTAATGTTGCTGATGAAATAATTATTTTCACTTTTGATTTAAGTTCAGGTTTTTCGGTTAGAAGACGGGCAAATAATGCTAAACAAAGATCAATATTAACTGCTCTTTCATGAACTTCATCAACAAAAAATACAATAGGTTTATTGTTATTTGGTTGATTTCTAATAAAATTTTCATCATTTAATAGACGTTCTTTTAATAAACCATTTGTTAAATATAAAATTCGAGCATTAACATTACTTTGAGCACCACTGACAGCCCATCCAGCAATTTTAAATCTATCTCTATTTGTTGTCATAGTTTCATTGACACGGTCACAAATTGCTGTACAAAGTAATCGACGAGGCTGGGTAACAATGACTTTTTCATAACCTTCGGCAGTCAACAGAACTGGTAATAAGCTTGATTTACCTGAAAAAAGAATGCTAAAATTTGAATTCCTGTTGAATTTAATACGTATACAGTTGAGACAATCCTGTATATCTACAAACAACACCGGACTGGAATCAAAGTCAAGAACAATTAATCGCATTAATATGTTCAAGTGAATGGCATGACGAAGCTCAATAACCAGAATTACTAAAGACCTATTTCAGTCTTTGCCAAACAAAGTTTCAAAAAATGTAGAAATAAAAAAGATTCTGATCCTTCAGATCTTTGTTGTGTCAGAGATCCGAGCGACATAAAGCCAGTCAATCTCCATTTCGTCATTAGAGAAAACCGCAGTGGGACAATGTAGGATTAGATAATTGATGTTATTATCTGATGATGAATTTGATTAAAGAACACAACTATATTTCTGAATAGAATAATGGATATTACTATTGTCGCATAAATAAAGTGAACATAAGTGTCGCTTTAATCTCTGAAGAATGGAAAACTACTATCTATCTGATGTTTTCAGCATTCCAAACACCAATGCATAACAAAATACGGTGATAAGAAGTTCATTGAAGTCGCTGATTTTTCATGATGTATGAAAATCTGCGTTGAAGTTAGGTTGTCATGTCAAAATTTTGTTCATTGAATTCCAATTTTCAAACTTTTTTCTTTGAATCTGCATAAAAATATTGTCTCTGACTCGTTTCTTTACAAAGTTGTAATGAAAGGAGTCTGAGATCCTTGATTTCGAATTTTCAATCTGGAATCATCCTAAAATTAGTTTAGATAAAAGTAATTTCTTGTATTGAATTCATTGAAGATATTTCTCTTCAGTTTCAAAGTACTCTAAAGTCATTATATCTAGATTATCGAAGCATCAACTCTTCATGGAATATGGCATCAAAATTTGAAATTTTGAGAAGCTTCGCGTTGAAACTTTAGATCACATTGAAAATACGATGGAATATTTCCACTGAGCTCAGTATGGTGAATAATCTGCGTCTTAATCTATTTATGGACGATTCAAAGTGAAAAGTTATAAATCGGAGGTCTTTGGAAATTTGTTAAAGCATGATAACGAGACAAGCCAGAGATAACAGCTTTATGCAAATCCAAAGTAAACAGTTTTTCCTACCGAATGGTTATATTTAAAGTCGAAATTGAATGGAAAAATTTAGAACGAGGTAATCCAATTTAGGCGATCATTGTCAAATGTTTCTAAGGATATCATCGACCTGAGTGAAATTGATATCACCTTATTGCCTTCATATTGAAGTTTGAAATGTTGAAAAGGCTAGATTGACAGTCACATCCTTTTTTAGATATTAAAAACAAACTTGCTTTCATTTTAGTTTACCGTGTATTTTAGTTTTTTGTCAATGTGTGTATGTGCTTTCTATTTTACAATTGTCTGCATGTATGGGATTTACTTCATTTGATCACATGAAATAAAATATGATGATTGAAAACTTTATGAAAAAGTCGCTAGTCAAAATTGGATTTTGACAAAATGAAATAGGAGTGATGACACAATTGACTTTTTAGTTGCTTCGTGTATCTCATTCATATGTTATCATTAATAACTTACCCGATCCAGTTGATGTTGCTACAGTAATAACATTATTTTTTTCAATTTTATCTAATAATTCTTTAGATGATTCATATAATGGTAATTGTAATAGAAAACATCGATAATATAACATAACTCTTTGTAATAATTTTGGAATTAATTTAAACTGTTCCAGATCACATCCAATATATATTTTATTTGTTTGAAATTCTTTTCTTACTTTATCAATGAATTCATTCATAGTTTCGATTGATTTTATTGATGGTTTCTTTTCAAATTTTAATTGTTGTGATAAAACATGTTGTTTAATAAATTCTTCAAAAGCTTTATGTTTCACTACTTCTAATTCTGATGTTAATGATTTTTTTTGGATATATCTATCTGTTTGTTTTTGTAAATGAACCCATGATTGAAAATGAGCATCTGTTATACATTGTTCTATCATTACTTTAGACTCGTGTGTTATGTAGTCATCGAATAGTTTGATAAAGTCTTGAATTTTATTTTGAACTAATTGTTGAAAATATTTCGTATATGATTGCCAATCTTGTGAAGAATGAATTTGTTTTGTCATTTTTTGATTAACTGATTTTATTATTTCATTTAATTGACGTTGATAAAAATTTTTAGCTGATTGAGTAACATTCGATAAAGTTTGTATTCGTTTTAGAACAAATTTGAATTCATCATGATGTACTTGAAGACCAGTAAGTGATACACAATGAACATTATTTCTTTCTGTAATTGTAATAGTAGGTATTGCCATTAAAGAATCATCCATTGGATATTTTGTTTTAAGATGATTAGTAATCTGTTTTGTTTTGCTAAATAAATAATTTCGTACAACAATTGATTCAATATTATCATAATCAATAGCTTTTATTTGTTTGATTAAATCTTTTAATTTTTGTTCTTGAGCTTGTCTACTGAGTATTTGTTGCTCTTGCTCTTTAGTCATTTTTTGATGTGATTGTTTTGCTTGTTCAATTTGTTCTTTTAATCTTTTAGCCTCATCTTCCCATTTCAAATTGAGTGCATTAATTGTACTAGCTTGTAAAGTAGAATTTGTTCGTTCAGCGACAGCTGGTTGTCTATGTTCACCGACTTTTTCGTTGAAAAAATATTCGACAGACATGCTTAGACTTCCATCGTCTACTATACTCGAATCAGTACCAGCGGACATATCAGCGGGATGTTTGATATTGGTAATTTCATCGTTGAGATCATTGATACTCCAAGTATCATTATTTTGCGCTGTTGTCTAAAAGTTAAATGAAGAAATGCTGCTATATTATGAAAATATTTCACAAAAATAATAACTTTATAATTTAGATATTTCAACAAGAAATTATATTCATTGAATATTCAAGAGGAATCTTCAATAAATCAGATGTGTCCTGTTTCACATTACAAGGCGTGAGCCTATTGACATAGTTGAGTGCTTTTAATTTCCCTTTATTTTTGCCTGGTGTCGTTAGTCACTTTTACTTTCTCTTCTTTCTTGAACCTTTTTTTACATTTTTCGGTCACTGCAAGTCTTCTTATTTGATTATCTATAGAGCTGCTCTATAAAATACGTAGTAATTTGAAAACACTTAGGATGTATCAAAAGTTCGAATCACGATGTTTAAAATTTAATAAAACAGTAAATATTGAATGTTTTATTATGGGAGTATATAGCTACCAGCGACAAAATCACTGTCAAAGGTATTTTTTATCTAAAATATATAATATATTATCAAAAGAAGTTTTCTTGGATATGTATAAATAGTACAAGCTCAGATGTTTATAATACATAAAAATTTAATATGAAGATAAAAAATTGTTCATATATTTTCTGAGTCTAGTTTGACACGTGTTAAAATAGGATATTTAATGGTCGGTTACTTTATATTAAATTTTGTTTATTTTGCGTTTTACCGTAATTTGGTTGTTCGCTGATTTTTTGAAAATGTATACCCTCAGTGAAGAGAAACGCTGGTATATCATTAATGAATGGAAAAAAGCTCTATAAATATTTCACGTGTAGCACGTTTTCTTAACTGTGATGTCCGTACAATATACCGCATTATTAATTGTTATCGTCGTCGTCATCATGTAAACTATGGACATGATGTTGGTCGTCCATCTGCACTAGATTCAACACAAATTAAACAACTTCATTGAATAACGCAAAACAAGCGATTGGTAACAGCCGCTGAATTACTATCGCTCACAAACGTCAGCACTACCGAACGCACGATACAACGATATCGTCTATCACTTGGTTATCATCCTCGCAAGTATATTATTAAAGTCAAGAGTAATAATATAAATGAACAAAAACGGTATGAATTTGCTAAATTACATTATCGTGCCAATATCAAGAACTGTATTTTCGAAGATGAATGTTATGTGGGTCTACGAAATACTTAACAAGTTGTTTGATGTAAACGAGGAGAATCAACACCCAAGAAGGAAATTTCATCGTTACGAGCACATGTTAATTTAATTGGTTTTATCTGGTGGAATTGTTATATATTTCGTCGATTTGAAAGCTGGTTAAATGCTGATGCATATTGTGCTACAGTTAAAGAAGCTTTATCCCGAAATATACGCAAATTAAATGGATTTTTCTATATTTCTGATGGAGTTAAAAGGCACAGAAGTCCTTAATTCCAACAATGGTGTGATCGATATAATATTGAATTATGTGAATGGCCAGGTTATAGTCCTGATTTTAATGCTATTGAACTGATCTGGAACATTATCAAACAGGAAATTAAAAATAATAATCCAAAGTCACAATGTGAACTTGAAAATGCGGTCGATGAAGCTTTGGATGGTCTATCGATGAATATTATTCAAGCATGTATCAAAAAGACTCAAAAAATATATGAACAATTTGTATCTTCATATTGAATTTTTATGTATTATAAACGTCTGAACTTGTGCTATTTCTACATATCCAAGAAAACTTCTTTTGATAATATATTATATATTTTAGATCAAAAATACCATTGACAGTGATTTTGTCGTTGGTAGATAGATAAAAAAAAATTGCGAGTGGGCTAGGTAAGACCCGACCCAAGCCAGACCACTCGTGGACCGAAATTCTTTGAAAAGAGAAACATGGCCTGAACTACGCCGATTTTTTCGATAGACAATCATCGGTTAACTTTTGAGTAAAGTACACAATTTTCAATAGATATTAATTTTTTCTCAGAGAAATTACTTTCTTCGAAAAATATAATTTACATTTTTTTCCATTGACTCAACATTTTTGCAATGAACAACAAGTGAATATACGAAAGGTCAGCAAAGAAAAAAGCATAAAATTGTTCATTCATACTAAACTATTTCGTTTTTTATTGAATAAATGTCGTTGTGCTTCTCAGTCATCAATTTCTGTTACCACTTTCTCGAAAACAACTGTTGATAAGGATGGGAATGTGTGTATCGATGCAGAAAGAACAACATAAAATGTGGGTGAAAAAAAGAAAAACACTCGCACAATAATTTTATGACTTTTATAAGAACTTGTCAAAAACATAGTGTAACGCGACAGCTAATCGTAATCAACTGTTATTTTGCACTATGTTTTTGACGATTGCATATAAAAATCACAACTCTATTGCGGAAGTGTCTCTTTTCTTGCCTCATTTGATTCACAAATGTGTGGCAAATGAAATGTAAATCATACACTATTCGAAAGAGGAGAAAATTTTTTATCGACTGATGGAAAAACATTTGTTCAAGAACATGTTTATCGAAGAGACTTAAGATTTATATGTTCTACTGTAATTTATAAACAATGTGTGGACTCCTTTTTGAGGGTGCTTCTCTTTATTTTGGCACCATTTCGTTTATGGGCATGCGATAAAAATAAGTTATGCACGATTTGAAACGGGACAAAAAATTCTATCTTCAGGCAAAAACGTTTTCTTCCCGTACCCTTCTATTTAAAGATATACAGGAGTCGATATTTGTCCCATTGCTTTGCATCACATCTTATATTAAAAACTATACTTCAAAGGCTTCGTAAGATTTCGCGGGACTTCAAGAGACTTCATGCCACTTTCAGACTAAAGCCTCTGCTATTTTTCTTTGGGCTCAGTCTGCCCATGTCTGCTGCCTTAATTTTCTTTAATGACTACTAATGATTTCCTGAAAAATCTGAGCCAAATAGTTAGCGAACGCGCATTGAGCTTGCACTGATTCGTCGTCTATACTTTAACCAATTAGTGCAATTACAAGGAATGTACCAACTAAAGCCTAATAGTGCCTTGGTTCTTGCATGCGAAAAACGCATGATGTTCTAGGTAAAATTAGCCTTTAAAGCTTGATGACATATTTCTAAAACGATATATTCATGAAATATTCACATACGACGAATGCATATCTAGATGATAATTCACTTAATATTTAGGTTAAAGTGCAATAGTATTATAGTAAAAAGAGATTCTGACATAGGTCAATCGAAGCATGATGCCATAGTGCAGTTGAAAACGCTTAACTTTCAGCGATACATTACTTTTTTTCTATTTTTCACTTTTCAAAATTTCGATGAAACTGTAAGAAAAGCTTAAAAATAAAGACCTAACTACTGAGTAGAGGCCTGTGGGACAAATTTTGATCGTGTCTTGTTCCCGATTCTCCAACGGGACAGGGTAAATGGTTTTTTTTAGGATTCGAGACTGCTCCACAGGGCTTTACTATTGACTGCAAAATATAATACCATGACTGTAAATAATGATTTAACAAAGCTCGTCTCAAATAGAATTGTGCCAAGTGAAGTCGCAGAAAGGTTACAATTATACTTCGGATTGGGTTGAGATCAATCGACAAAACACCGTGACTTATGACAAGTTCAGTACCTAAAACTGACTTCAATTCTGATATCGACCACAACCTATGCGAAGCACAGCTAAAGATTGAACATACTATGCGCGACACTATGCATCCAAAATATGGCTTCAAATAATCTTCTGAACCTACTTTAGTATTGCCATTCCAACCACCAATATCATCATCATCGGCTTCATCATCATTTCCTGTTTAAAATGTTGTTGCCATCTGTAAGCCACTCTCATCATCCTCATTATCTGCTTGATTTGCTAAGTTGTTCGCTTGTTTTTCATCAGCATATGTCTCCTGAAAAAGTTTCCAACACTTCGTAGTTAAAGGAATCGGTTGAATATTAGCCATGGATTGGTAATTATCAACATATACAAGTTTATGTTCTTTGCTTGCAGTGCTAGATATAAGTTTTGGAATCCATCGAATATACCCAACAATTGTATTTCCATTATCTGAAAACTCAAATGTTTGTAAATTGAATACCAAGTTATCACCAACATAAGGAATATTAATTGAAATAATTTTTCGTCTATAATTCATAGCATTATCTAATAATGAACTTGTTTTATCATCACAACTATACCAAGTATTTAATTGAAGTTTAAAATGACTGCTATGCACAACTGGAAAGTTTTGTATTTTTAACAATGGAATAGTCTCTGTACTTTTGTTTACTTTTGGATACTGAATTAACATTATTTGCCAGATCGAATAACAATCAAAATTTAAAATACTAGAACCACGACATCGAACCCATGCCACATTTTTTTGTGGATCTTGTTCATGCTTTCCTGATCGTAAAAATTCTATGGTTGATACGCTATATAAACCTTTCGTTACTTTCAAATAAACTTTTTCTTGAAATTTTTCTGATGGTAATAAAGCTTTGTGTAAAAATGTCGCTTCTGTTGCTGTAAATTTATACCATTTAGAATCTTGAAAAGGTTTATATTCCCACATACAATCTTGTATTGGACGTTGATCATCATCCATAATAGGTTGATTAGGTAAGCGTTCTGAAGATGCAATAGAGTAACTCATGATAAGATAATCTCGAAAAAAAGTTTTTATATCAGAATGTTGTTCTCCATTATTCATTGGAGTTTCATTTCCCTGATTTTGAATGAAATAATCAGCACCATGTTTAATTAAATATTTGACAATATTCAAATGATTGTAAAAACAAGCCCCATGAAGAGCTGTAGATGCTGCTGTTGGTCGAGGAGTGAAAGCTTTTCCAGGAGTCCTTAATGCAAAATTAACGTCACGTAGATTTTGAGCATTGACAGAACAATGCGCTTCTTCAATCAAGTATTTAACGATATCTAAATGATTGTTTCGTGCTGCTGAAAACAATAATGTTGTTTCCCACAATCCTGGTTTATCTTTAAATGTTGGATATTCTTTAATAAATTTTTTCACTATATCTAATTGACCATTGAATGCAGCTGGAAAAGCTTCTAATGAAGCTAATAAACCTTGTAACTCACGATGAAATGAATGTAATGCGCCCATTACTAAGGATGATGTAAATTCTTTTCGTTTACGATCATAATGATATGTATGAAAAAAATTGAATAGATAATTCGAACATATTTCTGATAAGTTTGGAAGATATTGATTAAGAATAGTTTGAATATCATATGTCAATGTGTCGAGTAGTTCATTTTCTTCGTTACTTAATGCGAATGTATAAATATTATTATTTAATTGAGAGTTTTGTAAAAGATAATCTGCTTTTACATCAGTTTGTTGTTGCCTTGCAATTGATGTTAATTTCTGAAGACATGTTTCAACAGAGCCAATAATTTTTGTTAAACATGACTTCAATTGCTTTGCATCGCTTGCCATATGTATCTAAGAGAAAATATGAAAGAGAGACATTACCGTAGATTGTATTAGCACGTTTAAAAGTGATTGCAACCTCTTAACATAATGTAGTCCAATTGGTCCATCATTTCAATGTAGTCTAATGGAGTTTTTTTAGCAGATATTCGACAGAAGTCAGAAGACCAAAAGTTCTTATGAGTCTTGTTGGGTATTCACCTCAATTTTTAACAGAAAAGTCCAAAGTTTTATAATTTATTAAACAGAAGGAGAAACTTTTATTTTATTAGAGCAGAAGTTATTTCACTAGGTTTTAATCTTAAAAAAGAGATATGTAGGAATTTCGCGAGCTTTGAACTTCCGAACTATGGAATGTTAAAACACTCTTAAAAGAAGCCAACGATGATTAGTCAAAACTCGTTGTAAATCTAAGACCTAAAAAGCTCATGGAACCCAAAGAATGTTGAAAAGTTATGTCGGACGTCGACGTCATCGCCTTGAGCGTTTTCCCATGCTTCTATTTAAATAGTAACTGTCGCGGCATAATTTTCTGCGATGACGCAATGGGAAATATTACAACAAAAACTTAATTTTTACTATGAAGAGAAAAACGAGAGAACGAAGTTGACATAAGATATTATTTTGAGAGAAAACAATTTTTTCTTAACTTTATGTACACATAAGGGAGGAAAAGAGAACGAAGAATTACATCATACCGAGTTCATAACGTCCCGAAAAACAAAACATTTTTGAGATAATTGCAAGTGCTTCTGGTACATATTGAAAGTGTCAGCTGAATACGTTCCAGACTTTTTGAAAAATTGTCTTCGTTTCAAAAGCTTTTGAATTGAGAAAAGTAAAGAATAATTGTAGAAAGTGTATCGATAAGAAATCTAACAATGCTATTCATGAAAGGTAATTATTACTCCGGGTCTTTCATTACGACGATTGCCAGTATACATAAACGGCGTACTCACGATGGTAAAACAAGTTGTGAATTAACGTTTTGCTAAGCACAGGATATACACTCTTAAACTCGTACCCTTTCCGTGTCATCACAATCGCGTCACTCTTGACGATTAATCGTGATTTGAGCAAAAAGTCATCTATTAATCAGTGATTTTTTGGATATTACAATAAATCACAATTAATCAACGACTTTCCAACAAACTTCAGCAGTAAGTGTTATGATATTAAAAAAAAAAATTTTCTTCTGTTGAGATTATCTAATCATCTCAATGTACAGGACGTATTATTTTATTAAAAAGTTCTTGTAATACTTGCTGCGGATCGGGTGAAAGAAATCATCCCTTTCCTCATTCACAAAAAAAAAATATATATGAGCATTATTTTTACAATACTGAATTTTACTTCCTTTGACTTTCTATGATTAATATCATTCAAAAAATAAATGATGTGTTAGTCGTGCTTCGATAGCTCAATGGTTAGAGCACTGGTCCGGATAACCAGTAATCATATCATGGATTCGATTCCCGAACGAAGCATATCGTTTATGTTTCTGAATGATATTAATCATTGAAAGTCAAAGGAAGTAAAATTCAATATTGTAAAATTACATATACTACTTTTCTATTCTTTAACAGTTATGAGCATTATTGTAAACGACGGTGGTACACATGTTGAGACATAGTCATAGTCATAGATTCAAATACTATAACTAGATCAGATCATCGAAAGTATTACGAGTTAGTTCAAAAATAGCACTACGACAAAAAAAAATGAAATATTTCCGCATCAGAGTTCAATCAAATGGGTAGATTCTTTGGTTCGTGGTAAAAGTTAATTCAATGTATTTTCCATACGGATAAGGTAAACCACTACTGCTGTTAAGGTTTATTGTTGGTATCATGAAAGCAGTTTTACCCGTTATAAAGTAAAAACTAGATGTGTAGCGTTTGATAGACAATTTTCAGTTATCATCTAAAAGAATAATAAGAACAAGTGAAAAAGAAGCTTATGAATGATTCTATATTGATTCCCATAGAGCAAATTTTCTAAATTAGTTAGTTTAAAAATCAACGGTTACAAAATTTTGAATTTTCAAACATGGAACACTGGTTTTTGCAAAAAAGTTTATGTTTTGACATCCAAAGGGCTGTAACTTTGTGTTTTTATTTATGGCGCACGAATTTCAACATTTAAGCTAACCAATGTTAAAAACTTGCTCTAAGTACATCAATACAGAATTAATCATAAAAATTCCTTTTGACTTGTTGTTCTTATTAGTCTCTTACATGACAACTGAAAATTGTCTATGAAACGTTACACATCTATTTTTTGCTTAATAACAGGTCAAATTGCTTTCATGATACCAACAATAATACTTAGTCATAGTATTTTCCTCACCTTATGCGTACAAAAGAAAACTTTGAATGAACGTCTGTCACTAACTTAAAAGTCAGCCTATTAGATTGAAGCGACCCAGGGATACTTTTTTTATCATAGTGCTATATAAGGGTCATCCTGTATTTGAATAATTGCAGTTTTTTCAAAAAAGTCAGAAAAAATCGCGATAATATCGCCGATTTATGCGCGATTTTGATGGCATGGATTCAATCTATACCCGTATATCTAAGCTGTCATAGACATTCGCGTAGGGTGTGGATGGGTGTAGGTCTTCTGTCCAACCAGTGAACTACACTCAGTCGGACTGACTCACAATCTGCATGGAGTCCATTTACAATGGCCATTTATCTCATTTAGTCGCCGTAAACGGTAGTATACGACCGTGTGTATTCGATCTGGGTACCAAAACGATCAAAATAGATCAGAAACTTATGAAATATCATATGTATAATTGAAACTTATTAATGATGTCTAATTATAGTTATTTTCTTCTGTGACGATTTCTGATAGACGGGATATTAGTGCTGATGGAGTTACACTTTATTGTATTCCTTCATATCGTATAATCATATCGTTTACATTAAAATCGCACGCTTATATATGCAAGTAGAAGAGAAAATGAAAGGAAAGGAGATGATGCCAAGGAAAGAATAGATATGAGAGAACAATAGTGTAAGGACAGTAGCGAAAGAATAGAAAGGTGAGTACAATGTATGTAATATACGAATCAATGATAGGGGAAAGTTGAATATTATGTATAAAATCCAATCAACCGAGAGCGTTACATCTTCTTCCTCCTATCCGCTGACGTGAAGAGAAAACTGAAAAATAGCACTTCTATTTTATTCTAAACAATAAATAGAAAGATAAACGCTTGACATTATTCATAGCGCTCGATTGCTTCTTTTGTATCTGCATTGTCTATATCAGTCTAAAGTGTTTCCATAAAAACACTAAAACTGTAAAGACTTACTCGTATTCAGTCTTTCTTTTAAGTTGTTGATCTATCAACTATATTAACTCTTAACTGACCATACGAAAAAAAATGCAAAAAGTTGCCAAAAAATGCCAGGTGGCACATGAATAGAAATGAAAAGATTGCCTAATTTACTGTTCGATAGGTATTTTGACGCGTCGATTTAATGTTACTGTGAGCATTGAAATTTCGAACATAGTTCTCCGATTCTCACTTTCTGATAGGTCGAAGAGTCGACAATAGGTCAGTAAAACGCGGAGTTTCAACAAGCCGAACGATTTTTACCGAGGGAATCTATAGATGTCTCATTTTCGAGTCGTCGAGACCTATAGAATAAACGCGGAGAAAGAGATTCTAACATGCGTACTTACTATTAACATTCGTCGAATATCTAAACTAACGGGTGTCCCAGGGAAAATGGGCCTCTCAGTATTTTTAAGATTTCTCCTCTATTATTCCTGTGATTAAATCTCTTTTTATTATCAAAAGATAGTACTTGGAATTTTCTACAAAACCATATATGACAAGACCTAAAAACTGTTTGAGATATTTTTTGAAAAAAGTCGAAAATTAAAGACATACACAACTGTAAAAACTAAATATGTGCCCCGTGATAAATGATCACACTTTGCATTTCATATTTTAATCTCTAAATACGTTTTATTAAACAAACAAAATATACCACAAGATGCAGCGTGAAAAGCTCTACAATCTACAAACTGAAGTTTATTTTAATAATAATACTTTTTGTTTTCAAAACAAAGCAAAACTCTTTGCGACCAATTTTCCCTGTTGCGAAAACGGATCGCACAGAATTTGGAGTTTTTTTGAACATAAAAAGTGCACAAATAAAATAAACTGTTGTTTGTAAACTGTAGAGCTTTTCAAGCTGCATCTTGTGGTATATTTTGGTTTTTTTAAAGGAAACATATTAGGTGATAAAAAGATAAAATAAGAAAAAGGAATTCTCGTTCATGTAAAAAAATGATTTTTTCACAATGGCGAAAATTGGTCGCAAAGAGTTTTGCTTTGTTTTGAAAACAAAAAGTATTATTATTAAAATAAACTTTAGTTTGTAGATTGTAGAGCTTTTCACGCTGCATCTTGTGGTATATTTTGTTTTTTTAATAAAATGTATTTAGAGATTAAAATATGAAATGCAATGTGTGGTAATTTATTATGGGACACCCGTTATTTAGTTTTTACAGCTGTGTATATGTCTTTAATTTTCGACTTTTTTCAAAAATATCTCAAACAGTTTTTAGGTCTAGTCATATATGGTTTTGTAGAGAATTCCAAGTACTATCTTTTGATAATAAAAAGAGATTTAACCACAGGGATAATAGAGGAGAAATCTTAAAAATACTGAGAGGCCCATTTTCCCTGGGACACCCGTTAAATATGAAATATTGTTCTCCTAAGACAGTTATCTTTTTAATTCTTAGAAAGATAGTAATTTCAAGATTGTTATTTTAACATTAGTTAACAGTTTTCGAAAATTAAAAAGAAAAACTTTTTAATCGAATAAAAATACCTTTTGCGTGTCGCTAGCTACAGAGAAGGCTTTTTCAAGTCTCAGATGCAATATAAGAAGCTTATTGGTCCAATATGACATTTGATAAATAATTGATTTGTGTGATGAAGTATAGAACCAATATTTAAAAAAAAATTCTTCAAACAT